CCCACAGCGAGAGCTGCTCTGTTCCTCGGGTCCCGAGGCTCCACTGTCTCAATCATTACCCGCGTCCCATCTGGCTTCCTAATGGACAATGTTTGGTTCCCATCAGGTCGCTCTATCGTCACCGCATGCACGTGGTTCAGCCACGTTCGACCCAAGAGCAGGCCGGAACTGCAGTTCTTCACTGCAAAGACAGGCAGGGTCACTCGTACCCCTTGGACCTCTATGGCTGCCTTGTGACAAACCCCAGTGATCTGTTGCTTTCGCCCATCAGCCGTCTCTATCTCGAATAGGTATGACCTATCGAGGCCTAGTCCAACCTGTACTGCCAGGTCCTCGTCTATGATGACAGCCTCACTGCCGTTATCGATCACAGCATCGAGTACCGCTCCATCGTTTATAATCGTCTCCACGGCCCCGCTACCAAGTATAAAAAACTTGTCTGGAGGCACACCTTTCATTCCATCGAGAAGGACTGTCGTCATGCGATCCGCTCTGGCAGTCACACCCGTTACTACTACTGTAGAAGCTTCCGCCTTAGGGGCCCCCTGACCCTCCTCCGATAGAGGTATGCGAGTCTTCCGCGTGATCATCTGTAATTCATCACGAGCCGGCTTCGATGCCGCCAGGTACTCCAGAATAAAGCACAGCATGGGTTGTCGAAGGGCCCACCTCAGTGGCTCGACCGTGTCAATCTCATTCAGCGAACTCTTCATTAAGAACTTCTTCACTCCCCTCTTTCGCGGCGAAAGGATAACCTTCTCTCCATCGACCCGCTGCCCGTCCTTCTCCGTCATCACGTAATSCGTGTCAGTCTTCTTCGATGTAAACCCTCTCGCCGACTTGGTGGCTGCCACCCTTATGGGTGTGGTCGCCATATCCCCCTCAAAGGTTATCTTGATGCTCTGGCTCCTGACCGGCTCCTGTTCTTTACTCGGCTTTACTCTCCTTGCTTGGACATTCTCCTTAATCGAAGGGAACATCCATACATCTCCCAGACCATCTGCCCACTTGACGTACTTGCGGTCGTCAAGCACGACAAGTCCCTCATCTATTGCCCATTTGAGGTCCGGGCAATCCCTCTTGATATGATCTTCTCCTCTACAGTAGACGCATGAGTTCCTAGGAGTAGATGGTCTGTTGTCTGCGCTTCTAGAGATCGAACTCCTGGCTGCCTTAGGGTCAGGCGACTTGGGATATGGTTCTGATGAGACGCCATATCCCCCTCTCTCATTCCGACCGCGCGAATCGTTGCGGCGGTCTCCTCTAGACCCTCCTTGCTCATACCGCCCTCGCGAATCATTCCGGCGGTCCCCCGAATCATATCGCCCTCGTGACTCATCGCGTCGGTCCCCTCGGTTGTACCACCCCCGCGACTCATCGCGCTGCTCTCTCGCATCTCCCCCTCGCTCAAACCGTCCGCGCGACCCATCTCGTCGTTCCCAGTCCCGATCTCCTCTTTCATACCTACCACCTCTGTAGCCATCTCGACCCGACCTCTCGTATCTGTCGTCCCTATATCCGTCTCGGTCCGATCTCTCGTATCTGTCGTCCCTATATCCATCTCGATCCGATCTCTCGTATCTCTCGTCCCTATATTCATCTCGTCGGCCCTGATCTGTCTCCCATCGTCCACGGGAGTCGCCTCTACCCCGATCGGCCTCATAGCGAGGGCTTCGCGGGTAATCATCCAGCCTCTTTGCTCGCGCAAACGGCTCGCGATCTCTCCGGTCTCGGTCTATCTCATCATCCCTACGTCGCCATGGCGCATCGTGTCTCTCTCTTCCCCTCGTACGATAATCAGTCAGCGTCCGAGGATTTCTATCCTCGACACTCCTCCAGGAATCGTTGTTCCTACGGTCCCAGCGAAGTGAATAGGGCCGTCCAGGTTTGTCCCGGTAGGGCGTGGCCCCTGTAGCGGTCACAATCTTTGTAACCTGTCTCGTTAATGCCTTCACCATGTCCCGTATCTCCTTCACTTCCTCAGCCACGACCTCATTCTTCTCCGACCAGGGATAATCCTTGAAATCAGGACATCTATCAGTG